AGTATTTACTTTCATTTTTAAATACTCCATTGGGTTATGATAGGGAGAAAATGAGAAATTATGGTGCGGACTTCTAATATTTCATTAATTTCCATTAAAAAAATAATTTAATTAAGTATATATAATTATTGACTCCACTCTAGAATAATTATTGCACTTCCATCCAAAGTTAGGAAAAGTTTTTTTCCAACCCCTTGCTTTCTCGGCCTCCGTGGTGCTTTCGGCGGTGGCGCTCCTTCTCCGGTGGGCGAATTCAAACTGTATACCCACCGTTGTCTTCGTTTCATGGGGCGCGCTTCTTCGGATTGTGATTTTAGGATGGTTCCGTTCATCGATAGGGAGATGCATTTTTTGATTTTGTGCGGTGGGGGAGTTCTTGGATCTACGACGTCTTTCTCTTCTGCACCATCTTCGTGATGGTGCATATGGACGACGGTGGTGATGATTAAGGTGGGGCATTGTTGGTTTGGTGGAGGAAGAAACCCTAGGCGGCGTGTGTAGCGGCTAGGGTTCCGTGTTGAGGTTGATTGAAGGTGAGGAATAGGGAGGTGGTTAGGCCCTCGACGACTGCAGATCTGACGACATAAAAACCCTATGCGACGCATGAGAGACGACTAGGGTTTTCGTATGTGAGAAGCAACTACGGTTTGGCGGCGGCCCATCATCTTGCAAGGGCGCCACACATGGCCATGAACGATGATGGAGGTGGAATTGTGACCATAGAGGCTACTGTGGTCGAAACTACTGTTATCCCTCATGCAGAAACGTCGAATGTTGGTATAATTAAGGGTAAATTACACCCGCACCCTTGAGGTATGCTTAAATAACTTTAAGGTCCCTGTTGTATCGATAATTACACTCATCCCCTTGAAACGTAGTTATAAACTCTAATGGGATAATACATTGGATAAGTTATTACGATAGAGTTCTAACGGACTATTGGTTTCAGGAAGTGGTGGAGACAACAAAGAGTTATGGGTGATTTAAGAAATATTGGGGGAGTCATGTCACCCCATAACTCTCCACAACTCTATGTTATCTTCACCATTAGCTAAAAGTAATAGTTCATTAGAACCCTATCCGAATAATGTATCCAATGCATTATCCCGTTAGAGTTTCTAAATACGTTTTAGGGGGGTGAGTGTAATTATCGATACCATAGGGACCTTAAAGTTATTTAAGCATACCTCAGGGGTGTCGGTGTAATTTATCCTATAACTAATAACAATCTGCGTAAACGAAGAAAAATACTTACTTGTTTGTCGAAAAGAGGAAGTGTGAAAACACAGAGAACATTCGAGGTTTGCCAAGGCAATTCCCTTAAGACAATATTTTCGGGCTGTCAACGGTGCTCAGACTCTTACCACTCCCAAGGTACAATGATCGGTTGTCAAATATTTGACCCACGGCGAACTTGAACAACGAAAGAAACTTTGACAAAGGATAAGAACAATACGAAGAACTATCTCTTAATTGCCGATTAAATTCCATACATAATTTGCCAGATTATGTCCTTATTTATAGGCGGTAGAGATCCATTCACAGATGGTTGCAATGGTTGGAAGAAGAACAAATACAATTTCAATCTACAAGAGGCGAGATTTCGTTTGTAACATAAAGTTGTGTCTATTCTTTTCACCGTGTTCAAAACGTAGAAAAAATAATTGGTCATGGGCCGATTAATTATTTATTTGGTTTGGGCCAAATATTTTTATTGTCTGGATTTTGGGTCAAATAATTTGACTAATTGCTAAATGCCCCCAAAAGTAACACTAGACACCTAAACCCAAACTAGTCCTATCACTCGATCGCATCGAGCACTCATCCTTTTGAACTTTTAACCATTCAATCAAGACAATTTGCATTCAATTTACTTCATGATTATGATCAAGTAAATAAATAAAATTAATCTTTCACATAATTTTTTTTAATATTAATCAGTATTAATTACTGAAAATCATAAAAGTTCCATGTGGACCTCATTCGGAGAAATAAGGTGAATGTTTGTGGAATCCTTGAGATGAAAATTTAGGACCCGGGAGTTTTGGACAAAAATATGTATCGAAATTTCGACATTGGAAGTTGTTGGTGATTTTACCTACACGCAAGTGTAGGTATCGAACAAGTAATATATTGTAAAAAAGTCCAGAGATCGATTCCACATAGAATATTAAATTATCTAATCCTAATCGCTAGATTGTACCAATTATTATCAAGCCCACTCTACACAGTCGAAAGATGATTGATTAACTTAAATTAAACTAAATTAAATTAAAGCAAATTAAGCAAGCAAGAACGCGAAAGAAAATAAACACAAAAAATTATCAGAATAAACAAGCCTATGATTTTATCTTCCCCCTATGTGATTACTAAGTCCCCAGTTCTTTCAATTATGCAAGTAATTAACGCGAATTATTAACCTGAGATGCTAAAAAATCATAACTAGCTTCCGCGTGTAATATGATTCTAATATTCTTGATTAAATTACTGTATTTCTACGCAATTAGATCTAGAACACAACATTATGCATAGATGTCAATAATGGGCTACCTAAGATGCTAACTATATTCCTATGATAGCACAACAAATGCTCTTCTACCAAATTTCTAACTATTAAACCGATCTTCCGATTCATGCGTTCAACAATAACAGAAAAGCACATAAAGTTGTCAGTTTCATGCATTTCATAAAACAAGTATATATAGAATTAAAACTTGCATAAAATCAGGGAAAATGATTCATAACTCCCACATAGGGTTCAAATAAAATACTAGAACAAAAGAGTTTAGCTACTCATTATTAAATTAAAAGTGAAATAAAAATTCATGAAAGATGAAAGCTATGCTTGAAGTCTTGAAGTTATTCGTCTTCGTTCTTACTTCTTTGCTCTCAAAATTGTGTGAAAGAGGACCGTCAATTTCGCGCTTGAGATGGCATTTTATAAGGTGGGAAAATTGGTGAAAATATAGTTTTCTTGTACAATTAGGAATTCCTTACCCCGCAGCTTCGCCCGTTTGGACGGTCGTCTGAAAATTAAACCTTCATTTCGGACGGCCGTCTGAAATGCCGTGGGTTTATCTTTTTCTTCTTGACTTCGAACAACCGTCTGGAGTTTGAGTACATTTCTCGGACGGCCGTCCGAGATCTTGACTTGTCCTATTGACGTTGACTTCTCCAATTTTGTCCACCTTTTCTTCTGAATTGTAGTTTTGACCCACAATTTATTAAATTATTCACTTTGTGCCTAAAACACAATAAATCAAAACATTAAGCACCAATTATCAATAAAATACACCAAAAGCTCTAATTAAAAGATATAATTAAGTGTAAAAATATACACTTCAAATGAGCAGATCAACAATTTCCTTCTCCACAAGGTGGACCATATTCTTATCATATGGAACCTGAATATGGTTAGGGTGGAAATTGTTGGAATGATGGATCAATTAATCCATTCCAAGATAACCTGTTTGGTTTCTCAACGCCAAATGTATGTTAGCCTTGTACATGGATTATTTACGATAGTCACTCGCAGGCCGTTGTGGCAATCAATTACACACTTTGGACGGGTATGTACGTCCATATGGATGTGCATAATTTATTTTAACTCGGTTCGTCAATCTTTGGAGAAGCCAGGGGTAATGCGGTTACCCCATATATGCTCTGGGATCTTCATAAATGCCACCAAGAGAGTAGGTTGGATGACATCCCACCCACGGGATTCTTCTACAGATGGTCGAAGCATCCAGTCTGTAGCAACTAGCAAGCTTGATTGTGCTCTAGTCAATTAGGAGTGGTTGAATGACTACGGGGCCAACTCGGCGAACTTCCTCCCCTTTGGACAAGCATTAGACCACTCATCGATTCTTTTGAAGCTAGGGTTTGATGGGGAGCAGGTTTCTCGGTCGTTTTTGTTTTTTTTTGATTAAAATTTAAATATTAGAAATCAAAAAGTCGTAGACAATTACAACGGGCATACCCGAGGAAATTGTAGAACCTACTACTGAATGCAAGAACGAAAGTAACTAATATACTAAAAGATAAGGAAAAGTAGGATAACCCACGAAACCTTAGCCCCTAAATCTCGACCATCATGGGTGCATAAGGCTGCCCGGTTGTCCGCTCGTCCTCGAAATCGCAAGCTCCGGGTGTTGGCTAAACATAGCCGAGTAAACATGAAGTTGGATCTTCCTTGTGAGGTCCTTCTGAGTAGTTTCAATTTTATCAAATTTTCACTTGTTCGGAGCCTACCAAATCGGGTACACGAGACTAGCAAGTGCACGTCGTTGCATCTTGCATCCAATGCGGTTGGTCGTCGACTGATCCCCAACCATATCCGTATGTTGCCCCACACCTCCCGAGAGATGCTGCATTTGAAAAAGAGGTGCTTCATATTCTCGTCCACCACGCCACATAAGACGTGTTTGGAGTTGTCAACTTGGTGACCCTTTCGCTCCACTTGGTCCATCGTGGCCGTTTGATCCAGTGCAGCCATCCATAGAATAAACGAATGCTTTGGGGTCATAGATAACGCCCAAAGTAGTTTACATCACGGTTTGATCGGGGCCTTAGCCCTAATCGAATCATATATTTTGCTCACATTTAATTTGCCAAGCTCCGTACAAGATTCCAGCTTAGAAATAAGTAGCTGAATAGTCCACGCGTTCACCAGCAGTTCGTCCCGAATCTGGATGATGCTCTAAAAGAAGGGTGAAGTTGTAAGTGGTGGTGAAATCTCCTATATGCTTCGTCCCTTGAGACTGAATTCATTCATCCACTGTATCCACAGAGAGTCTTCCTTCAAGTGAAAATCCCACAAGTTTTTCACGAAAAGGCTTCGATTCCAATCAGTCAAATCCAGCAGGCCCAAACCCTCTTCTTCTTTCGATTTACACATCTTAGGCCACGCCACTTTCGGGGCAGGACCAACCATAAAAAAACATTTTGCATAGTTTCTCAATATTCTCAATAATTGCATGGGGATTAGAGAATATTGATAATCAGTAGCAACACGTCCCTTGAACCACTGTTTTCAAAATCTCCAATCGGCTGGGGTATGAGAGAGTTTGGCAAGTCCACGCTCCTATGGCTTGTTCGATTTTATCGAGTAGTGGTTGATAGTTCAGCACTCGTAACTTGGATACAACAAGTGGAATTCCAAGGTATCGATACGGGAACACTCCCGTGGCAAAGTGAAACTCGTTTTCAGTATTTAATCGGTCCCCCGGTTTGACGCCTGCTAAGAAAATATTAGACTTTATATGAGTTGCCTTGATCCCCAAAACCTGCCCAAATTCGTAGACCATCTTGGTGAGGATACGAACCGATTCCACATCTCTTCGAGAAAGGACCATTAAATCATCGGCAAATATCATATGTGTTATCTTGTGAAGATGGCACATCGGATGGTAGTTAATTTCTTGTTCCATCGGACGTACATGGAGTAGCTGGGAGAGGTAACATGTATGGTGATAAGGATCTCTTTGCCTCAATCCACGCATGGCTGAAAAGAATCTCTTTGTCTCACCGTTTACCGAAATCGAATACGATACATAAGTTACTCATTGCATAATCCATCCCGTGAATTTAACTGGAAAGCCCAAGCTCTCCAACATAACTTGGAGAAATTCCCAGTTAACAAAGTCACATGCTTTGCGTAAATCTATCTTCAACAAGCATGTAGGCGAAATTATTTTCCTCTCATAATGCCGCATAAGATGTTCCACCAAGTGTATGATGTATGTGATCAACCCCCCCGCTACCTTTTTATTAAACTCAAAATTTTAAAAACTTTAATATTTATTGAGAAAATACTCACAATATGATTGGACAGAATCATATTGCACCGTTTAAATCAAGAACTAACTTACAAAAGTTTTGAAAATAGAGAAATCAAGCACCCCTCATGAGTGCTTATTTGAAGTATAAATAAATATTAATTATGCCCAAATTCAACCAACTCACTGGATTGAAAACAATATTATTTCAAAAGAAAGAATAAAATATTTATATGATTTAATAATTTTAAATTTCAGACAGACTTGTAAAACATAGGGCAATTTTTTTTTTAAAAAAAATATACTAGTCAAAAAACTTGTATAATAAAACCTTATTTTACACACGACATTTCCCAACATAATAAAGTTCTTACAACTCTTAAATAAAC